CACCGCGCGCCCCGCCCGCCCCTAACGGTCGCCGCCCCCAACGGTGCCCTCATGGCGCGTGGGCGGCGCGGGCCGGTTTTATTTCGCAAGGATCCCCAGGAAGAGGCCTAAAAGCAAAATTCCCGTCTAGGCGCAGCAAGGACATGAACTTGGGCCTGTTTGCATGAAGTGCCCCAGTTCGCCCTTTCCAGTTGTTTCAGCATATTTGTGGGATGCAGTAAGTGGACAACGTCGGAAAGGACCAACACTTTAGTTTTTTTGTGTTGTTTTCATAACCTTCCTTTATGAAAACCTACTGCCAACATTTTGTCGCGGTGCTCTGGTTCCACCCGTGTCTGTTTTTAAACTGCGTTTGGCCTTCCCCATCCACTCGCTGCGTGAGAAAACCTTCCATTTTTTGCATTTAAAATTATGCTCTGTCAATGCACAGAGACTGCTTTTGCTGTTATCCTAAATCTAATTCCTGGTGATGGTAGCATGGCCTTTTTTTTCTTTTTTCTTTTTTTTTTTTCTTCAACACCTTCCCACCGCCTTGCACCTTGCCTCGGCGTTGGCAGCCATGCGGCGTGGGTGGCCGGGGCCGCCGCTCGCGGCGCGGCGCCCATTACACCCACTCTGCGCTCACCAGGCACGCACAGGGCTGTGGCTTGTTCCCCGCAAGCGCTAACAGAGTGCGGAACGAGGGCAAAAATAGTTTGGATTTGATAGAATGTGCAGCATCTGACAAACTTCAGGCGCTAGAGGAAGCGGCGGGAGATTTCTGCCTCGTTTGTCTTTATGTAGGTTGGGTGTTGTCTTTACGTAATTTTCCCCATCCTCTTCCTTTAGGAAGAGTGGTGGAGAAAGGAGTACAGTGTATAATGTTTAGCTGCTTCCCCATTAAATCCTTAGAAATACATTACCTTTTGGTTATGTCTGCAAACAGAAAGGGACGAAAATAATCCCTTTTTCCTTTTTCAGTTTGCAGGTTTTTTTTTGCAGCTATATTAACATCTTCAACACTTTTTTATGGGAAAAAAGACCCACTCAGTTCTCCCATTCTGAGCACAGTTGGCATCTCGCTGCCGATTAACTTTCAGTAACTGTCATAGGGGTTACAGTCAGTCAGTGTGAATCAGAAGGGAAATTAAGCTTTAGGGGGACCATACTCTGCCAGACACTGTTGGAAACATTTCCTTGATATTCAAGGAGAATGTATTCACTCGAGCCATATACAGCAACTAAGCTATGTCCTAGCAGGCTAAACCGTCTTTAATGAACGAGACATCGTTACGCTGTTAGAGCAGTCCTAGGATGCCTGTGGTTAATCGCGCTGCGTTTTGTGGCTCCCTATTTGAAGCACGTGCGTTGGTTCCCTTGCTCACAGGTGACGCTGCTCTGGCCAACGCTTGGATTCCGAGCGGATGTTTCTGTGGCTTGTTTACAAATGTGCCATGGAAGAGTGGAGGAGGTTGTTTACTGGTGCAGCTGGGCTCACAGAAGCTGTGCCCTTGTCAGATCTCATGTCTCTAGCTTATAGAGCTGAGATCAGCTTTTGGCTGAGCTACCTCTATGGAAAACCTAGGTGTGGCTAACAGCAACGTTGGTCATCCTGGGAATGGCGCTGAGCATTCACCTGAGCAGCCTCATGCTGATGAGGTATGGAGCTGAGATCCTGGGTGCTGGCGTTCAGGCAGGGGTTGCAGCTGCCATGGCAGAATCCACGTTGTCCCATGGAGGCGCTGGCTCCTCGCTGTGGCTGTTCTGCTCGGCCATGGATCGAGGCGTTGAGGGTGCCAGCCGCCTCCCCACGAGGTGATTCCCGGTACCCCATTGCTGCCTCGTGTTTACTTTCTGACTAATGCTAGCAGAGGATTTTAATTTCCAGGCACACTGTTAAAATCACAACACGTGCTCCCGGTGACTAACAGGAGCTTCCTCTGATCTCTCATTCCTCCCCCCTTTTTTTTTCTGTGCTCTCCCTACTCCCTTCTCATGTCAGCAAATGAAATAATTTGTTTGCAGAGCGTTACAGGGTGCTTTATCTTTCTTTGGCCAGAACCAAGTGGATGCCGGTTTGCTAAAGCTAAGGCAGTTCTTTTCTTTCTTGGAGTTGGTGTGTGGGTGTTGGATTGTGTCATTTGTGGGAGGTGAACGTCAAAGGAAGTGGGATCAACCCTTGGAGGAGGTTTGTAATCCAGGTACTTAATATTTGGTTTCCTGGAAAAGAAAAAAAAATTAGCAAAACAGGCAGTCTCTCTGGTTTTAGCTTTCCCTGTGTAATCAGAATGACACAATATCAATGTCTGCTTAAGCACTCTTTTAACCATATTTTATTTAGGATAAAGAGCTGCTATATTCTCCTTTAAATGGTTTCACATGTTTTGGTGGATTCTGTTGAATGTTTATTCCAATAATACAAATAATTCATGTTCCATAAGTGCCCTCACAATGCGATTTATGATGTCTTTTCATTTGATATAAGTGGTCTCTCTTCGAGTTTAAAATTAGAAGAGCCATTTCAGACTGTCTTGTTCATCTCCAACCCTTTTTTGTTGTTATTGTTGTTTTCAGGAGTGCATTAGTCTAAAGTATTTCACAGGCAAAATATGGAGTTATTTTTTGGGGGGGAAAATGATCTACAAAAAAAAAATAAGTGTAGGTACTTACTGTTGAAGTAGTTTTATGTTAATCTGTTTTATGTGATGTGTAGATACTGAGCTAGATAGTGCTCTAGGAGTATTTATTTCTCTTAAACTGCTTCAGGTAGTCTAGATGTCTTTTGCAATCCTTGTTCAAGCTAAGCTTGAAAAACGAACAATCAAAATCAATTTTGAAAGGTTATTTACTTATATTACACTGATTAAGCAAAACAGCCTTTTTTATTATGTTTTTTTTTCCTTAAACTTTTGCATATTTAAGATTCATTCTAAGACGTAATACAGGTTCTTATGTCCTAGCTATCCAGGCTTTTGCAAAATCAACGTGTTGTAACACATGCGTTCCTGTTCAGTCACAGGTGGGGCATCAGGCATGTCTGAGAGAGAGGCAGTCTAAATGTTTTTAAATAAACCAGTATGACTAACACTTTTTTTTTCCTTTTTCTATAGGAAAAGGAAAAGCTGTGATTTACGCAGCTTTCCTGGCATTTAACCTGAGATTAATTGGGCAGACATTTTTCCTACTGGTATTAAAAGGAGGTCAGATGGAAGGAAGGTTCAGTCTGTTGCTGTTTAAAATGGGGAGGATGTGTATGCATTTGCTGGAAACAGAGCCCCTTGCTCTGATTTCAAATAAGTTTTCTGGTGTAAATTCACTGATTTCAGTGATATTATTCCTTATTTACACAGTAGTAAGCAAACTTAGGTCCAGGCTTCTGTTAAGAACCAATGAGCCTTAGATACTTACCTGGTCTATTTTTAATATGCCAAATATATCTATTTATACGGTAAGGAAACAGAGATACAAATCTTACTGGATTCTTCCTTTGCTTTGAGTTTGCAATAGAGACACTTTTTTTAAAAAAAAACAAAACACAAAACAAACAAACAAAAAAACCCCAGGAACTCTTATTATTTTTCATGTCAAATTTGCTGTGATTAGTATGTTAGTCTTCATATTTTCCACAGCCTCTTAATTCCCTGATAAGAAGATAAGAAATCCTGTTCCTTATCTAAAGGAACATTGATATAGGATGTAGCCTAAGGAAATGAGAGGCATTGCAGTTTGTCCGCTACTTCACATGAGATCCCTCAAAGGAGCTTCACCTCCATCTGATATCCTATTCTAGAAAATCATTTACTGTCCTCCCCTCCACAAACTAGCTTTGCTGCCAGGCTCCTCTATAAACAGAGACTTGTATCCAGCAAGGAGAAAATGTTAGAGCTGCACTGGACAGTTAATGAATGGGAAAGCTATAGGAAAACAAAGCCATTTTAGGCTAAAACTTTTGAGGGTGAAATCTGAGTCTCTCTTAAAATGTATCTTAAATAAGATGCCTGGTACTGCTTATAACACTAAGAGATGTCCCTGTACCCTGCGCTCATGTGAAAAGCTCTGCCCTTCTACTTTATCTGAGGCCCTGGATGCTTTGCACACAAAGTTAAATATGAAGTTGGCACAGGACCTAGGAAAAAATACCAAAACTCAATTCCTGCACTAGAGCTGAAACCAAAGAGCACTCCAGCCTACCCACCCAGCACAGACATGTCAGCTGCTGAGCGCAGGAAAATCCAGTACCCTGGAAGAGCTCGCGCTCAGGTGAGCAGCAGGATGCGTACCAAGCACAGAGGAGAACGGGGCCAGGCTGTGTGCACACCCCAGCAGAGTTCCTCCAGCAAGGAGGATGTTTCTGTGACGATGGGGTTTGCTCACCCTGCAGAGCAGAGACAACCAGGAAACCTGGCTTCCTTGGAAGGGAGCGTGGGAACAGGCTGTGCTTGCGCTTGGAAACGGTGCCAGCAAACCAGAAAAGTTAAACGTTTAAACTTCTAAACACATCGGGCTCCGAATATTTGCCACTTTAGAATATAACCGCAGATATATATCAAAAGCAGGGAGCATGATACAGCTGTACTGATGAGAGTTTGTGATCCTGCCAGGAAATAAAGAAGCAGGTATCAGCACTTTATCGTTCCTTATATTTTCTGCCCAGTTGGAAGGAGATTGAGTTAACAGGTTGACACTGGTTGTGTGGTCCTAAAGGAGCTGTGAGTTGTCCGGTAATAATGTGTCAGGTGCCAGTACCTCATTTGGGTTTGTTCTGTGATGGAGAAAGTTGCCAAAATCGTGAGGAGGGGTCAAAGCAGAGGTGAGTGGAACTAACAGTTTGAAAGTGGCATCTGCTCTTGAATGATACCTATGTCATACAAAGCATAGAAGAAAACATATAAGTACAGTTGCTTATTTGATTAATAAAAAAAAAATCCTAGGATCTGTTTTGCACAGTGTTAAATTTGCACCTAGGGCCTGTCACTGTTTGACAAAAGGGATGGAGGTCCTTGTAGGACCCATATATATATATATATGTTTTTTTCCCCTGGCTCTGCCTGTCCTCTGGACTTGCACAGTGTAATGAATTGCAAACGTAATTTCAAATCACTGTATTTCACTATAAAGAGAAAACCAATCTTAGTAGGGTTTGAAAAGGAAGGAGAATGAATAGATAAAATCAATGCACTGTGTCTGTTACCAGAATTCGCATCGCATGATGAGGTTTAATAAAGAAGCTATGGGGACAGTGTCTTGTTTATGGTTAAGTATGTGTTGCCTCTGTCTTGCGCTTCAAGATATACCTTCATATTAAATGTTACACCTCTACAAGAACCTCTAATAATTATTCTGGGACTTGACGAAGCACTCAGAAAAAATGTTGTGTTAACAGTATTACACATTACACAGAATTGTACTCATTGCAGCAGTTCCTTATTTCCTGGAATTAAATATTAGCCCTGCTGTACCCAGCTACCTTAGTGGTTACTCTGTGTATTGTCAAAGGAGCTTGTGAAGGCTTCTTAGATCAAAGGAGGTTGGTTGTGTTAAGAAGGTTCTGATAATGTCTTTCTATTACTTTGCAATCCATTTTTTTAATAACACCATTACAGTTGTTGGCCTGTCATTGTAGCCCTTGAGGAAAACCAGACGTTTGATAAACCAGGTGCGTGCTTGGCAGGCGCCTTTTCCTAACTGTGGCTTGTACCAGCACAGAAGGGAGTGCAGACTTCTTGGCAGAGGCAGCTTCTTTTTTTTTATGCTTGAAACTATTTCCATTGATTTTGATCAGGAAAATTATGAAAAAGATGAGGCAACCTAAGGCATCCTGACACTGAGAAGGTGCAGGAAGAACAGACGATCCTAAAGGTCTTTCAGGAATACACAAGCACCCTCTGACTTATCTTCTGCCTTTTGACCCAGGAAATTTTGAGTGTCTTGCAGCTTCCTATTTGCTTTGACATGCATGCTCTGACTAGTTTGGCTTGAGCTTTCTGGGGCTAACACACCCATAATCTAGCATTTTCAAACTATGAAAAACTTTGCTTGCTCTTTCAGAGCCTCTGCGTTTGGGATAGTCTAGCGTTTTCAGCAATGCATGCAGCCTGTTACGGCTCACCCATGCACTTCTGGACTCACCTACCCACAGCATCCACGTAAAATTCAGTTGTGTGTAATTCCCATTACCAGTAAAACATGCAGATTTGGTCTTAATCCCCTACAATCTCAACATCCCCTTTTAAAATGATCCCGTTTATGTTTTGACACACATCGTCCATCATTATGAAGTTTCTTAGTCTTACAAGATTGCCTCGAAAGTCTAGGGACTCTAGGAGAGGAAGTTTTTATTTCTGAGAGATGTTCTGAATTGCTGATTTTGGTGATTTTACTGTCAGTGAGTACAGCAGAGCACGAGCAGTTGTTTCACACTGGGCAAAAAGTGAACTTGTGGTTCTGAGTCAGCTGAAAGCCTGAACAAGCCTGGGCTCCCGTCTCTGGCAGTGGCCACAGAAGCTTCAAGTTAGAAGAACAGAAAAAGCAGAAAGTAGCACTTTACCCACTCAATCCTCCTAGCAAAGTGCATCTTTCCAATCTGAGATCTATCCTGACACAGTAAGAGAATAATTTAAAAAATCCCTTGGCTCTCTTCAAAGTACTTGTAGGCTTTAGGTTTTTTTGATCCAATGCCAAATGCAACAACGGTACTTGCCAAATGTCCTTGTAATGATACTTGTCCTAGGTCTTCAAAATATTGCACCTTGCTCTCTATACTGTGCTACTGTATTTCTGCTGATGTCAGTGGGATTCCTCTAAAGCTGAAACTATGGCCAAGCCCTTATGAAA